ACACTGGTAGCATCTATCAACTCTGTTAAGAAATGGTGCTCCTAGACGGGAAAGTGAATCCTTGTACTAGGCAACTCTCAATTTGTCTGTTATTTTTAGGAATATTTTGTCCTTAAAAAATTGTCTCTGAAAAGCTAATTTTAAAGTAATAACTTGATGCAGTAGCAGTCTCTGAATTGAAATTAAATAATCTCAAAAGCTATTTCTGAGTGGAAATGATTCCCCTGGTATGGAAAGATTAAAATATTCATTAATGGATCATTGCTGAAAACGACGTTTTCAGATGCTTTGAAAGAAGCACCAACCCTTCTCTTTACACAGGCATAAATATAGACACAAATATAAATAAGCTGGGAAATGAGGTAGCCGAAAAGGCAGCAATGCCATATCCAAATGTACAACTGTGTTAATACTACTAGGAAGTGTGACCTTGGACATTGGGAGAGAAGATGGAAGACTTAAGGGTATCTATTTTCAGTTCGAAGGTTCCTCTCTAAAAAACCTACCAGAGTTGTTTGAAGAAAACAAAAGATATTTATTAGCCTTAGCCATACAATTTGTATCTATTTGACTTAGCTCTGGCATAGTTCAAGATTAGATGTCTGTTTTAATTAGCTACTTTTAAATGAGACTAGTAAATCAGCGTTATTGTGAGTCAGCTTTGTAGCAGTTGATCCTTAAAATTGAAATGAACTGTTCTCACCTCTTATTAAAAATATTTAGGAAACAGCTGTATCCTAATGGCTTTTCATAGATTACAGATTTTTGAGTGCTTTTAAAGACAAGTCAGAGTCAGCAAGCACACAGGTCAAATAGTTGTTAAAAAAAAAAAAAAGGAAATGGAAATATATTGTTATCTGGGTAAGTATTGTCCTGCTTAGTGCTGATGTCGTGGGTGTAAAGGCTTTAAGCTGAGAGAGGGTAGATGTAGGTTAGATATAAGGATGAAATAATACTTCACTATGAGGATGGTGAGACACCAGTTGCCCAGAGAAGTTGTGTCTTCCAGTCCCTGGAAGTGTTCAAGGTCATGCTGGGTGGAGCTCTGAGCAACCTGGTTGGAAGGTGTTTATGCCCATGGAAGGCGTTTTGCAGGTGATTCCTTCCAGCCCAAAATATTCTGTCATTCTGTTATCAACACTGCAAGGCTTCAGACCACTAGCCAAAATATATACTTACTTGAAATGATTCATTCTGGTATCACTGCTAAATGAATATTTGATAATAATCTTACCACAATAACATGATAATAATATATTATTATATAAATCTGAGTGCATTCTGTTTGCTTTTCAAAATCATAAACCTGACAAATATATGGAAAAATGTGTGTATTATATATAATGTATATAGCAGTGTAAACTTAGCAGTGCTAAGCAATGGTATTTTCCTAATACTTAGATATCTTTTCTAAAACATTTTAAAATACATTTTGTAAAACTTTAAAATGGCAGTTTACATAGACTAGTAAGATCTGCCATAATGAATTAAACTGAAGTTTGTTTTAGCCTGTTATCCTCTCTCTAGCACAGCTGCAAATGGATACCTGGGGAAGAATATAAGTCTTGGGCAAACATTCCCTACTGCTTTCTCAGTCTTCTACAATATGCAAATAATAAATTGCCTTAGTCAAAGGCAGATGAAGGCAGTAGGTGAAAATGTTGCAGTTGTGTGACTAAGGGGCTGCAGATGGAAAATGGCAAAAAGGAAAGGAGTAACCTGATTTATCTGTTTATGATTAAATTAAAAATAAGGCTTACGTTACCCTTTGTTCATCCACTGACATAAGTTACATATTTCATTTAACAGGATAAATATAATTCTTCAGAGATGCCATTGTAATTTACAGGATCTTAGAGGAAAAGAGAAATAGCAGTTTATCAAAAAAGGGGATCATGTGGGACATGTTCATAGTTGCCCATAAGAATACCGATTATATGACTTACTATATATCCCTCTGCTACGGCTTGTCTGAACATTGTTGCTTTGCTGTGTCAGACAGCTTCCTGTCTCATGCAGAATGTTATTTCTGATGAAGTAAGTATGCTAATATGGAACTGTGAAAACTGCTTTTTATAAGCAGTACTGTCTATATGACTGAATTTTGGCAGAGTGTAAAAAATGCTCAGAGACAGCCGAATGCATTAATTTTAAGATATAAATGAGAGTGAACAGGCATGTGTTCTGTGTGGTATTTATCCATGCAACAATAATCAATATGCAGCTATGCCTGAGTAGTGACATACCATTCCAAAAAAGGTGATACATCTTTTGGATGTATGTACCAAAGGATGCATAGTTAATTCACATTCACCAGGCTTTTGCTCCAGCTTCTAGCAGTGTTTGAAACAGAGAAATGAAAAATAAACCGTATTAGGAATGCTGGTTGCAAAATTCAATTTCAGTAAAAACAAGGGGAAGTGTTTACTCCAGAAACTCTGCATATGATCTGTATTGCTATGAAAAAAATACATTGTCGTCACTAAAAAGCTAAAAGATGAATGTTAGTGTGCTAAAGCTTGTGAATTATATGGAAATGTTTTACTTTATATAGATACTGAAAGAGTTTTCTTTTGTAATTCTAGAATGTTATGGAGATCTTTTAAGGAGATGAGCAATTTAAAACGGTCAAGATTTAATTTAGATAAGTGTAAAATAATATGCTTAAGAAATTATTATTTAATGCAAATACAAATGACAATTACTTGTTTAAAGGATTTGCAAAGTAATAGTGATCAGATGTCGGATATGTTCCAAGGTGATGGTCTATAGTGAAGTCTGTTCCTATCCTGACTTTTACATGAAGGCTGACGGTAGGCATACAAGGAAGCACAAACACTTTCTTTCCTTCTCTTTGAGAACATGAGTAATAGTTACTTACATACATGTGATTTCACTGCCATTTGTGGCAGGTATTCCTGTGTTAGGAATATTAGTTTTTCTAAATATTGAGTCCCCTGTATTTTATTTGCTTGCAGCATGTTGAAACTGGAGGTAGAGTAATAACCATGTTGCATGGATAGAGGACAATGTATTGCAAGGCAAACGTGATTAACAAAGTGGATTTAATGGGCTTTTAATTGATATGAATGCTGGTGAAATTTTTTAGTTCTTATGAATCTAAGTTGCTGTAGCCTATATCCACCAGACTGTGAACAGTTATCACGTACTGCTTGCTCACCAGAGATTTGTATGAGTGTTTTTTCAAAAGTGATTAAATTTGTTTCTTATAGATCCTGCATAAGAGAAAACAGCTACCTGTTTTCTCTGGGCTCAATATACAGACCAGTCAGTGTCACCTCGCACAAGTCCGTGGGACCTGAAAAAATACCTCTGTGGGTCCTGAGGCAAATGGTGGATGTACTGCCAAGCCATTATCTGTTTGAGAAGTGATGGCAGTCTGGTGCAGTTACTGCTGACTGGAAAAGGGGAAACATTACTCCCATTTTTAAAATGGAAAACAAGGAAGACTCAGGGATCTACAGGTCAGTCAGTTTCACCTTGGTCTCCAGCATGGAGCAGATCCTACTGGAAACTGTGCTAAGGCACATGGATTATAAGGATGTGACTGGTGACAGTCAGCATGGCTTCACTATGGGCAAACTGTGCCTGACAAATTTGGTGGCCTTTTATGATGAGGCCACAGTGCTGGAACTGAAATCATCTACCTGGACTTGTGCAAAGCATTTGACACCGTCCCACAGGGCATCCTTGTCTCTGAACTGAAGAGGCATGGATTTGACAGACAGACCACTCTGGATAAGGTATTGTCTGGATGGTCTCACTCAGGGAGTTGGGGTCAACAGCCCAATGTCCAAGTGGAGACTGGTGACAAGTGATGTTTCCCAGGGGTCAGTATTGGGGCCGGTGCTCTTCCACATCTTTGTCGGCAAAATGGACAGTGGGACTGGTGCACCCTCAGCAGGTTTGCCAATGACACCAAGCTGTGTGGTGTGGTTGACATGCTTTTTATAAGCATTCAAACAGATTTCTGGCAGACATGATCTCTTCGTTATTGGAGGCTTTAAGATGAGGTTAGACTAGAGTGTTGCATAACAGTTCTCTGTTGGTTTTTCTTTGTTGGTTTGTGTTTGTTTTTTTTTTTTGTTGTTGTTTTTTGTTTTTTGTTTTTCTCTGTAAAGGGAACTGGATTTTAGAGGTTTGGAAGACAAGCGCTCTTTATGAGTACAGGTATACAGGCACAGGATATTTTAACTTAGTTTTGTGCATTTGGTTCTTTGTAGAGACCAGAGAAATGAGGTCAGAAAGAAAAGTAGCTAACATTGGAAATACTTTCTTACTTGTTCGTGTGAAGCGACATGGAAAAAAAAGAAAATTGGGGAAAAGGTAGATTCAGAAAAGGAGGAGACTGAAGAGAGAGAAGGGTTGAAAAGAAGAAAAGCCTGTGTATATGTTCAAAGACACAATTTTAAGTAGAGGTAGGAAAAGCCCTGTTTGGTGTATCGTCAAGGAAACACTGAAATATACCTTGCTGAGTGTCCTGAAAGCAGATAGAGTTGTGGTAAAGATCAAGGAACTGAAGGTCTACTGCAGCAAAGGGAACTTTTGGGAAAGAAAAAAAAGAAAGAAAACGAAAAAGAGTTGTGAGTCAGTTTCATAGTAACTTCTGTTAAACTAGTTATGTGTAATTTTACTTTGATTTACCTTAATAATCTATACTGAAGTTCCAGCCTTTCTGTGGTGTCATGGCACAATGATTAAATGCCTTTTTATTTAGTATCACTTTCAAAATGTTTCTGTTACTGTGTTTATGAGTAATACTTAGAATTCTTTTCTTTAGCTCATATGACTTGTTTCTCTTTTTGCTACTCTATTCTTATATTTTTTTCTGTAAGGAAATGCAATGCTTATAAGTGGCAGTTTGTAACCCTGTGATTAATTACATTAGCAATTTGCATATCCTTAAGATTAGCTCAATAAAAACGTATTTCTAACCAGTCAATAAAGCTCACTTTTTTCCCACACTATTTTTTTTTTAGGAATGTTGTCTCTGCAATTTGAGAGGTGGGGCATTAAAGCAAACTACTGACAAGAAGTAAGTATAATACTGCTCGGGACTGTGTACTTGTTTTAAGCTTTATTCCCAACCCGTTCCCATGTAGAAAGTGTTTGTAAACCTAATCACGTGACTGTGTCCCTTTAAGCTGAATCATTGCAGAATTAAAATTACTAGTGCCACTGGCATTTTGTGAAATATTTAGGTGCTAAAATATACATTTGTTTTAGTATTTGCACACACCAACTTGTTCCAGATATTACCCTGCTGGCCTTTGTATAAGATAGTAATGGGAGCTCATTTGTCATTGTTTGCATAGGCAAGTCTAATCAAACAGCGAAATACATTTTCTTCTTCTGTCCTGGAAACTTATGATTACAGAATTTAATGCAATGTCTTTAAACTTCTAGAAACAGTACATTTAATTAATCAATTTGAATAATATTGAAATAATTTTATATTTTGATGTGGTTTTAATATACGCTTCTATCATGCCATGTCAAAAATAATATTGTTGCTGATATCATGCTATTAACAGCATCAGTATTTTTCTCTATATTTGGATGATAGAATACTATAGCAAGTAACCCGAACGGATAAAATGGAGAGTGCTGCAGCTTAATATCTTTTTCAACTCTAGTAGTGGAGCAGTCTTTATGCATTTTGAATTTTTTCATAATTAATTAAATTATTTCAGTAGCCTAGCAATATCATATAGATACCTTTCTTTAACCCTTTGGAATGGAGTGGTAAGAGATGATCTAGTTGCAACATTCTTTTCCACTTACCAGGTAAAAATTTATGTATCAGTGATTTGCAATTGCTTGCATGACCCTTGTAAATTGTTCAGTTAGGAGAAGGTTTATCGGAAACTCAGAGGACAAATCTTACCTTCAGCAAACGTTAATATTGTTAACCAACACATGAAAATTCTCAGCTGCAGAAGTGTCATCTCAGTAGAATTTATCATGCCCTTTGATATTTGTGATAGACGGCATGTTGCATCTTTTAGAACATGTACCTCTTTTTTTTTAAATCGATTCAAATGTTTTAGAAATGTTTCATAGGATTTACATAGAAAAAATCTGCAGAGGTTTGCAGGAAGTTAGTTTCTCTGCATAACTGTATCTAAAGTCTTTGGCTTTGCATTACATATCTCTGTGAGTTACTGTTACAGGTTTATGAAATGAGAATTCTGTAAAAGTAGGTCAATTTTTGTTTTCCTGTTTCTGCAACACCTTAAGAGTGCTACATATGTTCACATGTTGAGTCTTTCATCTATCTTTTAGCATCAGGTACAATTCCAGTTTTTGGAAGATTGTGTTCTAATTATGCCTTTTTTTTTTTTTTTTTTTTGCCAACAAGGTTAAAATCCAACATGTGCATTCCCTTTGCTCCTTCTTTCCCTTTCAAGTAACAATTAGAGAGATGGGATGAGCATTACTTAGAGTTAAAGTTAATGAATTAAATAGGGTCTGTGTGTAACAATTTGCCATTATGGAATTTTTTTCAACAGAACACAGCAATTGTTTAGAGTCTGTTATGTTGAGACATGTCAGAGTATAAAGGCTTGGGGGAAGATTCATTGAAAAGGCATTTTATTTATAGCATTTCTGTACCATAAAGCTTGGATGGTTAGACAGTGTAGTTCTGCAGTTGGACAGGCAGCAAAGAAAAGGGTGCTAACAAAAGTTAAAAAGTCTCAATGCAAGTTTTTTTTTTTCCGTAAATCAAAATATAAACAATACTGTCACCATAATAAAATGATAAATCTACAAGCTTAAACAGCTTTTATTTGGGCTAAACTGTGTAATTTGCTGATTGATATGTTATCTTTACCTACAGCTCTTATTTGACACTTAGGCCAATACAACTTCAGTGTTACATGACAGCAGTTTGTTTAGTCCTTGTATGTCATATTATATTTTTCCATATATTTTTGTCAAAGATGAGTTACTGAAATAGCATCATTCTAGTGCAGGAAAGAGAAATTATTTCTGCTCTGTTGCATCACCAGCCTGCATTCATGTTAATCTGCTAAGATGCTCATATAATGTGTGTCTCTGGAAATCCACAGAAAGTGGAGTGAGGCAAGCATTCAGGGCTTACAATAAAAGAGGAAATGGGGTAATGATACAAGATGTACAATGAATGACAGGAAATAAAGCAAATAGGAGTCAAGGAATGGAAATATTTCCTTTTCTTCAGATTTACTAGTTGACAACCCCCCAAAAAGATTTTAGAAGTAGTCTCAGAAGGCTACTCTTGATTAACGTTGTTAGCTTCTCTCTTTATATAATATGCACACTCTGTCATTATAGGTGCTTCCACTGCTCAAAGCTGTCCAGTTCGTGCTGGGAATTACAGTAACAGCCTCATCAGTTTGCTGCTTCTGTGCATTTGTGTCTGTAAACAGAAGGTCTTGATAGTATGTTTTGCTCTTCGATAGACTGTGATCGTAATCATGTTTTGTTGCCTAAGTTATTCAGGTCTGAGTAATGTTAATCAAAAATGCTGTGGTGATAAAACTGCACACAAATCAAATAGTGTGGTCTTTACTTATGCACCTGGGTAGCACAACTACAAAACCTTTAAACTTAATAAATTGCACATGGAAGATGCTTAAAAACAATGTTGCAATAAAACCACAGTCTGAAAATATATTTACATGAAGTGCTAGTGTTGTAAGTTTTGTTAAATATGTTTCAAAGAAATGTAGGACATCCTAGTAAGGAAGGATCTGGGGATGGTTGCCATAATAAAAAAAAACCAAAACCAAACAAACCAAAACCCCACACAGTAAGTAATGAAACATCTTAAGCACTTGTATTTCTATAGAGTTTTTTTTTGGTGGTATTCTTGACTTGCCACTTTTCACAGGTGGGCACATGTAATATGTGCAGTTGCCATCCCGGAAGTCAGATTTGGTAATGTCACAGAACGTACTCCGATAGACACTAGCAGAATACCTTTGCAAAGATTAAAATTGGTGAGTAGTATATTCATATATGCTTCATATATTATTTGCTATTAGGGTGTTCCAATATTTCAGATCTATTAAAAATTTGACTTGTGATTATTGCAAGGTTCATAACCAGTAAACTATTTTTAAGGTAAGTGTCGTGGTTTAAACCCAGTCAGGCAACTCGTTCACTCACTTCCCCCCCTTTCTTGCCCTCCCCCTGCTCCCGGAGGGACAGAGAGGAGAATCGAAAAGAATGCAACTCCCACGGGTTGAGATAAGAACAGTTTAGTAACTAAGGTATAACACAAATCACTACTGCTACCACCAATGATAATAATGATAAAGGAAATAACAAGGGAAGAGAATACATCATCTCACCACCAGCCGACCGATAACTCACCCCCCCAGCCCGACCAAGCTCTGACCGATACCTCCTCCAGCCCTGCAGTCTCCCAGCCCTTCCGGCTCACTCCCAGTTACATCCTGGGCATGACGTGCTGGGGTATGGAATACCTCTTTGGTCAGTTTGGGTCAGGTGTCCTGTCTCTGCTTCCTCCTGGCTTCCCCTCCTCCCTGGCAGAGCATGAGGCTCACAAAGTCCTTGGCCAAACCAAAACATCCTTGTTATCAGCTCTGTTCCCGAGCTGAAAGTCAAAACACTGCACTACACCAGCTACCAAGAAGGAGAAAAATGACTGCTACTGCTGAACCCAGGACATTATCCACCCCTTATTCCATACCATTCACGTCATGCTCAGATCCCACATTTTCAATATATCATCACTCTTATCTTAGTGCATGGACCAGTCCCTATAAAGCTGCTGAGTCCATCTGGTCCATGATGTCAGTCTCCATCTCTTGTACCAGTCTTCCAGAGCAGGAGAGACTGTGTGCAGTGTTCACACTCATGAATAACCTGGGCAATAGTGTCCATTGTTAAGTCCACCCCTTGATCATGAGTCCATCTCTATGTTGCATCTCTGCTCTGATGGCCTGAAGTGCCATGGGCCCACCAGGCTTAAAATAATTCACTGTCCCCTTCAGCAGTTTCTGCAGCTTGTTGCTGGGGACTCCACACAGCTGCCTTCCATCTCCGACGCTTCCAAAGCACTGGAGGGGCCCAGTGGACTAGATACTTGCCCATACTGTCCCACACACCCTGCCACTCATGACTGTCCAGCCTTGGAGAAAACCTCTTGGTCCCCCCATATCCTCGTCTAACCCCAGACAAGACCCAAACCTGACTCTGCTTAACTTTTGAGATCAGACAAAATGGTTGTGGGTAGAACACAGTCTGTGTGTGTGCCAACATGCTGATCCCCATCACAATCAGCAGGCAGGTCCCAAGGATACCCAAAGGCCATTCAAAACCTTCAGAACTCTCAAACGATGCTGCTGTACTTGTCACTGGGGCTGGTGTAGCTGCTGTGCTTGCCGGCTCTCCCACCGCCAGCTTCTCTTTTCCTGAGTCCAGCTCTTCCTCCTCCGCCTTGCTGGGAAATGCTGCGTGGTCTCCTGCATCCTCCTGGGGCTCGACGGGCGGCTTCCGGGGGATGCTCTCGGCCGTCGCGGGGCTGGGCTCGGCCGCGGGGCTCGGCTCCTCCGCGAGGCTCGGCTCCTCCGCCGCCTTCTCCCGTTGCTCGGCAGCCGCTTCCTTTCTCTCCTCGACCGCCCCGGCCTCCTCCACCGGCAGCCGTCCCCTCGCGGCCTCCGGCCCCGCTCCCGCCGCCGCTTGGTCCCCGGGGCCGCTCTCCCGGGCCGGTTCGGCTGCCGCCGGCTCCCGGGGCCGCTCCCCCTCGGCTCCCCGCAGCCTCACGAAGATGGAGAGTAGGGTGAGGGCCAGGCCGGTGAAGAGCAGCCGGACGGCCAGGTACAAGTCCGCGGCCACGTCCGTCCCGCCCTGCTGCTGGAACCCGCCCGAGTTACAAGCCATTGCCATAAAGCACAGTGAGACAAGAACCTTAGCCCAGGCCCCACACTTGATGAACACTAGCACAGCAAATACCGGCTCTAAGTAAGTTACAACATTCTGAAGCTGTGAGATCAACAACTCTGAGAGCCAATAAATCGTCATTGTGATGAGTGACTATTAATCCAGTCAGATCTGTCGTTATCTCAACCCCTCGTGCCCCACGTTGGGTGCCAAAAAGAACTGTCGTGGTTTAAACCCAGTCAGGTAATTCGTTCACTCACTCCCCCCCTTCTTGCCCTCCCCCAACTCACAGAGGGACGGAGAGGAGAATCGAAAAGAATGCAACTCCCACGGGTTGAGATAAGAACAGTTTAGTAAGTAAGGTATAACACACATCACTACTGCTACCACCAATAATAACAATGATAAAGGAAATAACAAGGGAAGAGAATACATCATCTCACCACCAGCCGACTGATAACTTGCCCCCCCCCAGCCCGAGCAAGCTCTGACCGATACCTCCTCCAACCCTGCCATCCCCCAGCCCTTCCGGCTAACTCCCAGTTACCTCCTGGGCATGACGTGCTGGGGTATGGAATACCTCTTTGGTCAGTTTGGGTCAGGTGTCCTGTCTCTGCTTCCTCCTGGCTCCCCCTCCTCCCTGGCAGAGCATGAGGCTCACAAAGTCCTTGGCCAAACCAAAACATCGCTTGTTATCAGCTCTGTTCCCGAGCTGAAAGTCAAAACACTGCACTACACCAGCTACCAAGAAGGAGAAAAATGACTGCTACTGCTGAACCCAGGACAGTAAGGAATAAAGAACCAGGGTTTTATCAGGATGGGCTTTTTTTGACATATAATGACAACTGATTAACACTGTTAAGAGCATTTGGTATTTTATCAAAAGGAGTTTGAACCTACCCTCCCTCAAAAAGAAGAATAACAAACTTGACCTGTGAAAGCTGTGAAAGTTTCAGTTCTGGAACTGTATTGGTAGGGAAAGTATTGAAACCCAAACAGGCTGTGAATATCCCACAGTCCATATTTGTGAGGTCTTTTGATTATGGATTTTTGCCTCAAGGAACTATTTATGAAGATAAATGGATGTATGATCTGCTTGATACATGGTATCTCTACCATCTGTGGCGCAGAAATGCACAAAACAGATCACACATTATAATGGATGGAAAAAACTGTTTCCTGAGGAATTTCAAAAGCTACTGGAAAACCTAAATGAAAGTGCATCAGCTACTAGCAGTTGCATCCTGTGTTACATCTAGAATAACTCATTCAAGAAGGCTGGTGTACAAGCAGTGTAAATACTCTGCTATGTGCAATATATATGACTATCCTCCTTACTGTTTGGATCAGTTTTCTGGATCTGCCCCACAGTATTTCCAAAGTGGTTCTTGGTCTGCCTAACCTTGTACTTGCTCATTTTGAACTATGAATCTTTGCATTACGTTTTCATTTAATTATTTTTTGTATGTGTCTGTGTTTTGTAGTTGTACTTCTAAATGTGGAGTACAAGTTTAGGTTGTTTAAATTGATAGCCTTCTCTTCAAATGACAAACCATTCTACATTTCTGTTCAAAGTCTTAACACTTGTTTTCTCACATCCTTTGAAAAATGTCTTTTAAAAGATGCTTGAATTAATTCTAAATAATTGATTATGAAAGTATGGAGCCAGAATTTGTGAAGTTACGTGATTTGTGATTTCTATGTTATTTCTGCTAAACATAAAGCAGTTATGTTAATCAGTTGTTTATAATGGAGAGCTTTTTCTTCTATTCTTTTGTTCATGTGATAGAAAATTGCTTATAGTCCTTTGTGCTTTTTAAGTTCTTAAAGACTCCGTTAATATAAAATCACATTGAAGCACTAGGGACTGTATTAAGCTGTATATACTCTTTTGGTCTCCTGTGAGTCCCTGAATGTTTAGAAATATATTACTTACTTTCCATAAGTCTGTTTTTTAAAGTAAAAGAGTTTGTTTTTTTTTTTTTAATTGAATTAATATTGTGCAGAAGGAACTCGGCTGAGTACAATTAAAATGTGAGAAAATGTACTTTATAAAAGCCATAAATGTAGTATTGCTGCAGGTAGTGGACAGTTACTGTGATGAAAGGAAGCCGTTTATTCCTGGTTTGATTCATTAAACCTTATTTTTCCAAGAATTAGTTCCTGACATTGAATTTATAATGAAATAGCTAGGCTGGTACTAATTTAAGGAAAGTAAGCAGTATGACCATTTTGAAAGGCTCTATAATATTTTAATGTTAATAGACCAATAAAATAGTACTCCTTGGATAAAGGAGCATTTGCTCTAGAAACACGAGAAGTCTGTCTACTTTTAAATTCTGGCTTTTATTGCAAATAATTTGCTGTATCTGATGGTTTTACTCTGTTTTCTTTCACAGTGAATATGCTAGCTAAACTGTCTCCTGAATAACGTTGTGATATTCTGTATTAAAAGAACTATTTAAGGAATATCTATTGGATGGAATTGTATGGGTGCTGCATATTTTATCTAAAGCCCTGTGTATTAGATGCTTTCTGTAAATTATTTCTCTTGTTTCCTGAAACTTGGGGCTCCTACTTCCCTAAAGGTTGCTGTCAATAACCTTGTGTATACATGCCACATCATTCTCAAACCAAATGTGATCCTTACTTTAGTCTTGATCTGTGATACTACAGAATACTAGCTATGCTCTCATACAGACTGACAGTTGGTTCTCTGCCTCAGGGGAATGCCGGGAGATATGTACAAATTGATTCTGTTCTCTATCTAGGAATTCCTGTGTCCTCTTCCCCCTAGCTGGCCGCACTTACATTCTTGCAGAATCATAGAATCAGCTAGGTTGGAAAAGACCTTTAAAATCATCAGGTCCAACCATCGCCCCAACCACCACTGAGCCATGTCACTAAGGGCCCAGTACCCTTGTCAGATTTGTGCTCTAGGCCCTTCACTAGCTTTGTTGAAGCTTCATTATCTTTCATTCCTCTGTGTTATCATATACTCCGTAATTTGGAGTGGACAGCCGATGCCATGTGACCTGCTGTTAACTTCTTTGACATACTGAGTGTTCTACTCTTTGATGTTAGCGCTAGG